GACCAACGGACAGCCAGACAGGTGAGTAGTCCCGCTGGGCAATTCCAGACTACGCAGGTAAGGAATTATTAAACATAAAAATTCACTTACCGCTTTAGGAGGTGATCAGTCTCCGCGTCTGGAATGCTCCACGGTCCCCCTCGTCCACTCTCGGTCGGCTGATCCGGTGTTCAGAACCCGGGCCCCACGTTTTGGAGTAGGTCACCTACAGACCATTTACCGTGATCTACCAGTGAGCCAAATTAATATAGAATTACGTGCACGTGGAAGCAAGACACTGACACTGTTGCAGTTTGCCAACTTCCTAAAATTCTGTTTTATTGAGGAACTAACAGTATCATTTATAGGGCTTATGATGCAGGCAAAGCATATACATTGATTGGGTGAAAAGTCCACTGGGTTTCTGCATGTTCTTCCATCCGTGTTGATATCTTCCAATCATTGTCCCCAAAAAGACTCATTCCCTTTTATGGGGGTTGTTTACATTAAAAGATACTTTTCTCCTCATGAGTCACCTAGGGTGAGACTCCGGATGAAGGCGCCATCTTAATTATCATCATTGTTCTGTCAACCTATATCTGATTGTTTACTTAAGAGAGTAAGGAATTTAAAGAGCAAGAAGCAGAAGGTAGGAAGACTATAAAATTGTCATTTTACTGATCATCTAATAGAACGTGGACTGTCTATCACAATCCACTACACTATGGAGTAGGGCTTGGGTACCAATGACAAAATATGACCAGACAGGTTATAGTGAGGTGGGCCAAAAGAAACCACAGAGCCGTTCACTGAACCACTGAGAAGCACAGCAGAGACTCCTGAAAGCTGATGTCTCACTTGCTGTGCTTTTAAGAAGAACTCAGGCAGTTAAAGGCCTCCAAAAGTCCAAAACAAAGCATGCAAGAAGTCACAAGTAAAGCCTTCAAGAAGCCAGAAGCCAAGTCTCCAAGAAACCACAAGCCACGTTTCTAAGACATCATAAGCGGCCTCCAAGAACTCACAAACAAAGTCTCTTAGAAGTCATAAACAGCCTCCATGAAGTCACAAGCCAAGTCTCCAAGAAGTCACAAGCAAAGCCTTCAAGAAGTCAAAAGCAACCTCCAAGAAGTCACAAACCAAGTCTCCAAAAAGTCACAAGCAAAACCTCCAAGAAGTCACAAAAAAGCTCTAGAAGTTACAAACAACGCCTCCAAGAAGTCATGAGCCAAGTCTCCAAGAAGTCACAAGCAAAGTTTCTGAGAAGTCATAAGCAAAGCTTCCAAAAAGTCACAAACAAAGCCTGCAAGAAGTCATGAGCAAAGCCTCTAAGAAGTCACAAGCAAAGTCTCCAAGAACTCACAAGCCAAGTCTCCGAAAAAGCCACAAGCCAAGCCCTCAAGAAGCCAAAGCAATGTCTCCAAGAAGCCATAGTGATGTCTCCAAGAAGTCATAAGCAAAGCCTACAAATCCCAAAAACACAAGGGGTTTTGTCCTTCTGAAGAGCAATCCACCACGGATTGATTCTAAGGGCCAACCCATGTGTAAACACGTCCTTAGTGTTCTGTCCAAAGTCTACTTTTGTACCAGGCTCTCACAGAACCTCCCAGAGAGACAGAGAGCCCTAACCATCAGGTAGCTCACATTAAAATGCCTGTGAACAGTTGGGATGAAAAAGTTAGGTCTGGGTACCAGATGTGGATCTAGGGATGGAGGCTTTATTCTACCAAATGCTCTACAAAGCCTCCAGGCTACAAACCCAGAACACATCTTATTAAGGGCTAAATTCACTTTTGGAGCATTTCAGCTACAGTTCCACATAAACACTTTATTTACAAAACTAAGATCTATAGGCATGGAGCAGGGGCGGACTGACAATTCATGGGGCCCCCGGGCAATAGGGGATCATGGGGCCCCTGTGTCCTTGCCCAAACTCAAAAAGCCTATGAAAAAGGCACTAGGGGCATCTCATGGGGCCCTCTACTGAACCTGGGCCCTCGGGCAATGCCCGAGTTTACAAATGGTCAGTCCACCCCTGGCATGGAGCACAGGGTTTGTTTATGGATAGAAAACTGGTTAAAGGGACACGTCCAATGGGTGGGGACAAATAGCGAGTGCTCAGACTGGACTGAAGTGGTAAGCGGGGTACCACAAGGCTCTGTCCTAAGGCCAATTCTGTTTAACTTTTTCATAAATGATATAGACGTTGATATAAAGAGATCACTCTGAGTGTTTGCTGACGATACAAAGCTATGCAGGGCAATAACTTCACAGCAGAATATAGAACCTTTACTAGAAGTAATGCACTTTGGGGCTAAAAATATGAAAGCAAATTACTCGTTAGGAGGAGAACCTCTGGGGGAATCCAGGATGGAAAAAGATCTGGGGGTCCTAGTAGATGACAAGCTCAGCAATGGCATGCAATGCCAAGCTGTAGCAAGCACAGCTAGCAGAATATTAGTATGCATTAAAAAAGGGAATTTACTCAAGAGATAAAACTATAATTCTGCCACTTTACAAAACTCTGGATGGACTGTATCTGGAGTATGCTGTCCAGTTCTGATTCACCAGTCCTCAGGAGGGAGGTACAGGAACTGGAGAGAGTCCAGAGAAGGGCAACAAAGTTAATAAGGGGACTGGAGGACCTCCATTATGAGGAATGATCACAATCACTAAACATATCCTCTCTGGAGAAGAGAAGCTTGAGAGAGGATATGATTCCTAGATTGTAAGCTCGAAAGAGCAGGGCCCTCGATCCCCTCATGTTTTGCATTGTATTGGTATTGTTCTGTCACATGTTCTGTCCCCCTTTGTAATGTACAGCGCTGAGCGAACTATTGGCGCTTTATAAATACTGTATAATAATAATAATATAATAATAGCGATATGCAAGTATCTTAATGATGATTCTAGTATAGGTAATAAACTATTCAGTCTCAGGGAATGTAATAAGACATGGGGCCACGCAATGAGATTGGAAGAGAAGCAGCCTAACCTTAAACTGGGTAAGCGGTACGAATGTGAACTTCACGTCCATAATTGGCGATGTCAGTAGGAAGCATCGATAGTTTTAAAAAACTCTTGGACAGGTATCTTGATGAACACAATATACAGGGATACGGGCAATGTTTTTGACATGAACACACACACACCCACACAATTAGAACTGGATGGAATGGTATCTTTATTGAACCTTACCAACTATGTAACTATGCAACCTGTATTTATGTACGGGCAAGAAAGATGGAGGATGTGTCTGCAGGAGCCTGACATTACATCCATGATCCACTGATTGCAGGTGCAATGCTTTGCATGCTCCTAGTGGAAAAAATAATAAAATGAACATTTTGTTTCTACAAAATGTGTGCATGTATTAATTTTCCCTAAAGGTGAACTTATCCTTGAAGGCTTTGAGAAAACAAAAAGTTTGTTTTCTCCATATCAGTCACAAACCGTGGAACCCTCACCATGTGTAGGTGAGAAACCTATGTGACATCAATACACACACACACACACACACTTTCTTTAGGCATCACAATTACTCCTTTGCAGGACTGCTACTAAACAGTGGCAGAATAACAGGTCCTCTTTAGCATTAAACAGAACTGCGCACTATATATATTCAGGAGGTAATGTAATGAATGACCTCAACCATTGTTATTCATAGAATTGTGTAATACCAGGGACATTTCTATCACTACACATAGACAAGAAGCAAAGGAATGAAACAATCGATAGTCACATTTCCCCGCAGTCAATACAATTATCTGTGACCGAAGAAAACAGAAGGACGTACAAAGAGACGAGCCATTGTTCATTTCAACATCAAATACAGAGGTGTTACCTCCTTATGGGCCTCACTGGAAATTCTGTTTGTATAGCGCAGAACCTCCAGCTCCATGTCTGTACTGAAAACACGGCTGCAGAAATAAAAGTTAATGAGAAATAAAAGTTGCTAAAAGTGATTATTAAAGTTGATGTCAGAGCAAAAAACTGAAAAAAATACACATTCATACATCTCTGCAATACACGCATATTTCCCCATATGTACAGAAGCAGGAGCTCCTAACTTCCTGTATTGAACCAACAGTGCTGCCTCAGCTGCACCAAAATCTCAAGAAGTGCTGTCAGCCCTCGTACAGAGGCTAAAAAAACTTTTTTTTTGTAGATGATGCACCAGTTTTTCATAGATGGGGGATGTCTCCTTTTATGAGGTCTCTAGTCTTGCAAGACCCAAAGCAAACTATGGACATGCACCCTCATAACCTCATCTCATTATCAAATGGCCAGTCAATCACCAAAAAGAGGTTCAGTTTTTGGTAGATGCTGTACTGCAGTTTCTCATAGCTGGGGGGCTCCATTTAAGAGGTCTCTACTCTTGTGTTATCCTGCTGTGGTCATTATGAAGGAAGAGTTGTCTCATGTGGGATAGTACTGGACCTACAGAACTGAGGCTTGGTTCTGATGGATATACAGTGGAATGCTTTTTCCTTCAAAGGAGCTGATCTACAATGAATGTTTAGTTCAGATGGACCTTGTTCTGGTCCTAGACCCTTACCTCTCTTATCGCAACAAAAAGATCCTTCAGAAGATGATAAAACTCAAGAGGTTGGTGTTGAGGAGAGTCTTGCACAAACGTTCATATCCCCCAAAAATCATTTTGAAGCCTTTACTGGTTAAGGGATTTGAATACAGCCAACATGTTTTGGGGGAAGTGCCCCACCCTTCCTCGGGGCTTGAGCAGTGGAAGTTATTTGAATCACAATGAGGTAGAATAAGAAACCGATGCTAGCAACTTATAAAAGCTGTCAAGTCTTAATGGTACTATAAACTATGAAAACCCAGCTGGCCATTCATAGGGCTTGATAAAGACTTTCAGATCTTAACGACACTTACATAGGTCTCCTATTTCATCTCATAATGATTTCAATAACATCCACTGCTGATGCCCTGAGGAAGGGGGAGGTATTTTCCCCCTGAAACAAGTTGGCTGTATTTGATGCCCTTAACCAATTAACGTTTCTATCAAATTCACGTATAACTAATATAGCACCCAAATCTCTTAAATGATATAGCAAACCTGTAAGCACAGGAGTCTTCTAGCTGGTAAAAACACGTGCTAATGATTTCATGGACAGAAAGAATAGGCAAGAGGTTATGCATGTTCATCAAAGTCAAGGCTATCTCAACTCCAACCAGGGGCGGACTGACCATTTGGAAACTTGGGCACTGCCCGGGGGCCCAGGGTCAGTAGGGGGCGCTATCAGATGCCCCTGGTACCTTTTTCATAGGCTTTTTTAAGTTTGGGCAAGGACACAGGGGCCCCATGATCCCCTATTGAGGGCCTGGGGTCAGTAGGGGGCCCCATGAGATGCCCCTGGTACCTTTTTTCATAGGCTTTTTTGAGTTTGGGCAAGGATACAGGGGCCCCATGATCCCCTATTGCCCGGGGGCCCCATGAGTTGTCAGTCCGCCCCTGACTCCAACTGCAAGTGATGTCATCCACGAGTGGCTCTTTTCTGAAGAAATGGGGAAAAGCCCTTCCGGAGGCTGAGGACATGACGAAATGTCTTGCAGGATATTGAATAACTTGTAAGATCTAAACTATGGTGACGTTTGTACTCTAATCCTCCAGTCTAGAAGTGTTTTTTCAACCAATCTCTCATCCCCACCAGCTCCCTTCACCATGACCTGATCTCTTCCTCCCCTCCAACAATCCACTTGTTCCTCGCCTCTGCCTTGAAGACAGTGCTATGCTAGGATGAGATTTGCCTCTCCTCTTATGCACTTCAAACTCAATTACCATCTGCATTTACCGCCATCCAAAGTTCCATTTCATGTCTGGGAGCAGCCGGCCACCCCGTCGTTCACAACTGTTTTGTATTTGAGATTTGCTTGCTGGCACCCTGCTCTTCATCACGCTGCTGCTTGTCGATACCAATAGGACTTGTATCAATAACGGCGGCCTTTTATAATGCCAGATAAAATGCTTTGTCTCTGCTTGCCATCTCACCAAAAGATTACTTTTCCTTTAGAGATGTACAGCAAAGGCTTATGAGACACTCGGAGCATGTTCTACAAGGTACTCGAGTCTTAACAACTGAAACTTGTTTTGTTTCGGATTTAGGATGAGAATAATTATCTTTTGCAATCTCAGTCCTTCATATATGTACAGTTAAAATGGTTTAAAGCTCTATACACTCACTGGCCACTTTATTAGGTCCACCTGTTCAATAGCTTGGTAAAACAAATTGTTAATCAACCAATCACATGGCAGCAACTCAATGCATTAAGACATCTAGACGTGGTGAAGATGACTTGCTGAAGTTCAAACCGAGAATCTGAATGGGGAAGACAGGGGATTTAAGTGACTTTGAACGTGGCATAGTTGTTGGTGCCACACGGGCTGGTCTGAGTATTTCAAAAACTGATGATATACTGGGATTTTCATACACAACCATCTCTAGAGTTTACAGAGAATGGTCCAAAAAAGAGAAAATATCCAGCGAGTGGCAGTTGTGTGGATGAAAATGCCTTGTTGACAGGGGTGGACTGACCATTTGGAAACTTGTGCACTTTCCGAGGGCCCGGGGTCAGTAGGGGGCCCCATGAGATGCCCCTGGTACCTTTTTCATAGGCTTTTTTGAGTTTGGGCAAGAACACAGGGCCCCCTGATCACCTATTGCCCGGGGGCCCCATGAATTGTCAGTCCGCCCCTGCTTGTTGATGTCAGAGGTCAGAGGAAAATGGGCAGACTGGTTCGAAATGATAAAAAGGCAACAGTAGCTCATGTCAATATGGACCAACACCTTGTTGAATCTATGCCATGAAGTATGAAGGCAGTTCTGAAGGCAAAAGGGGCTCCAACCTGGTACTAGCAAGGTGTACCTCATAAAGTGGCCGGTGAGTGTATTACATCCCTTCTAATTAACAGTTGAACTCAAGGAAAAAAAAAAAAAAATACATATATGAGACTGATTTTTTTTTTTCTGCCAAAGGATTTGTATTTCTGTTCATCCAGTCTCTGAGTTTTACACAGCTCTGACACTCAACACAGTCCTCTCTGCTAAAGCTGGAGACCTGTTTTCCTTTGCTGTGGTTCAATAACACTTACAGGTCTTGTCTCCCCCCCAGCCTGTGACTGGACAGTATAAAAGCAGCAGACTGATGAGCTTATCTCCATGACTCTCTGTTCTCTCTCCCTATCAGCATGTTAGCATATGAGCACTGCAGCACACCCAACTGGCTCCTTGTGCCCCTTCTGCCTCTTCCAGTCTGAGCTCTGCATAACATGGAGTACAAGAGACTGTTAAGTCAAATTCAGATACTTATACTGCCGACATTAAAGAAATTCATTTAATGTTGTATTAAAATGTTGCTTTAAAGTATGACTAAAGGCAAAACATTTTCTGCTGGTAGAATGGAGAGGGATTAGAACACCTGTCAGGTTTTTATTGCTGTCTGTGCCCCATTAAGGAGATGCGCCCTCTCTAATTGTCATGTTTACAGTTATCACTGAAAGTGAAGGAAATTCCAAAATTGTGGGTTGTCACCAGAACAGGATTAGAGGGGAAATCTTTTAATGGAACACAGATGGCAAAAAACATGACAGAGGATATGACCCTCCCTTACTCTATCCTAAAATTAAAAAAGCAAAAACAAGGAAGACTGTCAACAGCTTGGAAGTCCACCTTTAAAACCGACCTGAAAGCCACCAAGGTCCCATGGGACAAGGATGAACTGAACAGTTGACAGAATTCGATGGAAAGTACTTACTGCCCAATGCACCAAAAAGCACAGGAGAAACTCAAAGTCAAAGTCTAAGGTTAGGGCAGTCAAAGTCTAAGGTTGAGGCCAGGGGCGGACTGACAACTCATGGGGCCCCTGGGCAATAGGGGATCATGGGGCCCCTGTGTCCTCGCCCACACTCAAAGCACACCCAAAAAAGCCTATAAAAAAGGTACCAGGGGCATTTCATGGGGCCCCCTACTGACCCCGGGCCCTCGGGCAGTGCCCGAGTGCTCGAATTGTCATTCCGCCCCTGGTTGAGGCAGTGCAAATGCTTTTTCTACATTTTGGAGAATTTATGAAGGAAGTGTGACACCATCACTTTGCTTTGAATTGGCTGCAAAAGATAAATTAAACTGGACAACTTTGTGGAGATATGTTACTACTGGTTTTGGGCTGAACTGGTCCTTAAACCAACCAACAGAACCTCATTTCAGCCCCTCAAACAGGTATTAGAATTTAGACTATGAGGATTGGAGACCTCAGCAATCCAAAGGAAAACAGAACATGATACCCTAAGCCCAAAGCAAAAGACAGGAGTACAGAATGTACGAACAGAAACAAAAGGAAAAATTGAGTAGAGATCTGTGCAAAATGATTGGAACCCAGACTGGCATCCATGATAAAAAAGGAATGGAACTCAAGACGCAAAGACCAGGCATAGAAACATAGGTATTGAAGGTTTGGGCAAATGACCAAGACGTTGGCAGAGGGGATGGAAAAAAGAACAATACCATCTGGAGTCCTTGACAAAAAAGACTGCAAAGCAAAAACCAGATACTAATTCCAAGACATGAATATGATATTCCAGCAACAGGCATTTGGATCAGAAGAAATTACATTCTTGGCAAACCGGATTTTAGAAACGTAACAACATAAAAGAGCCAACTACCAAATGAACAGGTAGTATTATTATTATTATACAGTATTTATAAAGCGCCAATAGTTCGCTCAGCGCTGTACATTACAAAGGGGGACAGAACATGTGACAGAACAATACCAATACAATGCAAAACATGAGGGGATCGAGGGCCCTGCTCTTTCGAGCTTACAATCTAGGAGGGAGGGGATGGTGGCACAGGAGGAGATAGCTGTGGGGGATGGGGTGGTAGGAAGAGTGGAGGAGGTCGGCAAGTTAGCAGGGGGTGGGGTAGGCTTCCCTGAAGAGATGGGTTTTCAGGGTGCGCCTAAAGGAGAGGAGAGTAGGTGATAATCTGATGGGTTGGGGCAGGGAGTTCCAGAGGATGGGTGACACCCTGGAGAAGTCCTGGAGGCGGGCATGGGAGGAGGAGACCAGGGAACTAGAGAGAAGGAGGTCTTGTGAGGAGCGGAGTGTGCGTGCTGGTGGGTGGTACTTGGATATTAGGTCAGTGATGTAGTTCGGGGCAGTATGGTGGACAGCTTTGTACGTCAGTGTTAGGATTTTTAATTCATCCGTTGCGCAATCGGAAGCCAGTGGAGGGATTAGCAGAGGGGGGTGGCGGAGATGGAGCGGTTGGAAAGGTGAATGAGTCTGGCAGCCGTATTCAGGATTGATGAAGCGGGGATAGCCTGTGGCGAGGCAGGCCAGTGAGGAGGGAGTTGCAGTAGTCCAGTCGTGATATGATGAGGGAGTGGATGAGCTGTTTAGTGGTTTCTGGGGTTAGGAACGTGCGGAGTTTGGCGATGTTGCGGAGGTGGAGTCTGCACGAGTTTGTTAAAGATTGGACTTGGGGCTGGAAGGATAGGTTGGAGTCCAGAATGACACCAAGTACTCTGGCCTGCGGGGCGGGTTTGATGGTGGTGTTGTTGGATGTGATGGAGAAGTCAATGGGGGGTGGTGTCCGGGCTGGGGGCGAAGACAAGAAACTCGGTTTTGGAGAGGTTCAGTTTAAGGAAGTGGAGTGACATCCAGTCTGATATGTCGCTCAGTAGGTGTGTGTGATTCGGGCAGAGACCGAGGGGGTGAGGTGGGGGGTTGAGAGATAGATTTGTGTGTCGTCGGCATATAGGTGGTAGTTGAAGCCGTGAGAGTGTATGAGTTGGCCAAGGGAGGAGGTGTAAATGGAGAAGAGAAGGGGCCCGAGGACAGAGCCTTGAGGGACCCCAACAGAGAGGGGGAGTGAAGGGGAGATGGTAGCTTTATAGGTAACGCTGAAGGTATGTAGACTTGCCAAGCTGAAGTCCCAAGTTTGATTCCCAGCAGACCATCTGTTTGAAGATTGGTCTTTCCTAATCTGGTGCAGTTTTCCTCCAGCTACACCAGCTCCATACGACAATATAAAATGCCCCAGAGGGGTTAAATCAGTGTCCAATAAACTTGGCACTAGACAACTGCCAGTCTCACAAAGTAAAATATGAAATCTTAAAGCCCAACTCCAGCATAAACATTGGTTTAGGACTAACAGGTCTTTAATGCTGTCTGTGTCCCCACTGGAGGAGATTTACAAGTGGTGGGATATCTCTCTGACAGGGACAGAGACAGCAAGAAGAGTTAGAAGAGGTTAGAACATCTGTCATGGTTTTTATATTATTGTTAATCTATGTGTCCTCCCGTGTCGGGGACACCTGAACCCGCTCATTTCTTGTCCTCCTCTATCTAGAACAGTAGAAAATCTATCCAATGAGGGCACAAACAAAAACAATCACTTAGTCAGAACCATCAGATTGACTTACATTTCTGGCAGAGTTTTGAGTCCAACAGATAACCTTTGCTACATAATCCAAGCCCTGATGAAAAGGGTTGTTGGCCTCCCAAAACGTGTTGATTGCCGTTGCGTGTTCCTGTTGCAACTTGTGATAGTAATAAAGGATTCTTGGACTCTTGAGATGATCAGTTGGTGCTTATTTATGTGTAACTTCTCAACCTTGTTTTTTGTTTGGGTGTGGTGGTGGTGGGGGGGGGGGCATTTTTGTGAGAGCACCCAAATTCAACCAATTAGGCCCAACCATATACATCTTTTGATGCGTAAACATCCGATTCCAGTGCCTCACCTTCACCTTTTCTTGAAAAACAAAAACTTAACAGAGGTTCTGACTCTTACCTGCTCTATCGAAACTCTCAACAGTTGATCGCATCAACAAAACAACTACTGTTCCTGTGAGGGTCTACCTGATGTGTAGAAACCAAATGTCTTGTTTACGTAGACCCTCACACTACACAGCTATTATTTGATTTAGTTGAAATCACACAAAACAAAATCTGATTGTGTAGGGCTAGTATATGTAAGGACATTTTTGCACGAGTGCAGCTTGTAAGTTCCTCAGGGGTGGGACTCACTTGTATGGCTCTAGGTACTCTATAAAGTGCGCCATAAAAAAAAATTCAATAAAAAAAAAAAACAGGAGGTTTACAGGAGTTGTGTAAAAGAAAACAGGTGTTGTATTTTGTTCCCTCTAATGTCACCATGTCACCCAAATGCCACCATTTGGTCTTCCAAGCATCACCCCCCCCACTGCCACCATTGTGTCCCACCAGTACGACTATGTCCATCCCAGTGTCAATAATATGTCTTTCAGTGCTACTCTGTCACCCTAGTGCCACTAATTATGTCCCCCCATTACAGCTCATCACACCAATTTCACTATTATGTTCCCCCCAATGCCACCATGTCACCCTAGTGCCACTAATATGTCTCCCCAATACTGTTATGTCACCCCAGTGCCAACAATATGTCCCTCCAGTGCCACCCTGTCACCTCATTGCTACCAACATATCCCTCTAATGCTACCAACATGTTCCCCCAAGTGTGCCCATCATATTCCCTGTCAGAAATGCTTTACTTCTTCCTCCCCCCATATGCAGAGTGGTGCAGGGAAGCGGCGGTAAGATATAACTATCTGTTCTGTTGCACTGGTCCCCTCCGATCCATTCCTGGCATCCAGCCCAGGAACTTGCTTGTGACGTCATATACAAGCACCTGGGATGGACA